GGGTTGGATACATTCACAACCAGGAAATTTTTGTATAGACTAGCTGTGTCCATCTGAGCACTCCATCATCATTTGGCAAACAATATTCTCATTAGTCAAAATGTAATTAATGGCTTCAGTGTAGCATGTTGCTTTCTCTAACCAACAGAGAAGCAGGTGCATATGCTGGTTTGTTACCTCTAATCCTTTATATTGCTTCAGAGTAGTAAGTGGCACCGGTATAAATGTGCATGTCCGAGATTGACATTGTCTGAGATGTTTTCTACTGCCATCTATGCAGCAGCTGTCTTCTGGGCAATTTTCCTTATCCCCTCAATGGGCCCAGCAATGTCTTGCCACATTACTCAGAGAAAACTCCCTCCAAGAACCTTTTCTGTTTAACGGGTGATCAATGACCCACCAAATGACTCAGAATGACCTCAGCCCATTGTGAGATGCTCCGCCCAGGGGGGGGGAGCTAAACATCCCCACCTCAATATATTCTGGGGCTTGCAACAGAGTAGTCAGCCTTTCCACAGGTTCCCAAGAGGTACAGCTTGGGGTTTTTCACTAGACCTTCAGAGGAAGACTACACCCTTCTACAGGACCACTGCTCCAACAGAACCATATCTGCCACTCCAGGAGGAATGCAGCCACCCCAATTTAGATGGCTACCAAAATGCTGACCAAAAGGGTCTCAGGTTGCATACTGACTCTGTCAGTGGTTTTTCTTTTACATTATTGCATGGATATTTTTTTTTTCCCTAATAAATTGTATTTCTGACTTGGAGTCTCTCACTGGTTTTGCTTTCAAACCAGAACAGTGCACAATAAACAAAATAAAAACATGTTCAACAAGGCAAGACTGTGAATATACCAAGCAGGATCTCAGGCTGCTGCTCCCTGTTCAACACTAATGGTACATCAAAGAGGTGTTTGGAAGTTTCTGGTGGCACTGTACACAGTGCCTCAGTGTACAGAGGATGGGGAAAGGAAAGGGAACAGAAAACAGAAGGGGAAGAGAAGGGGAAAAGGAAGGGAACGAAACGGGAAAGGAAAGCAGAAGGGGAAGTCAGGTCTTGTAGGGAAGGCTCAGGAGAGGTTTTGTTTAGTGCTCATAAAACGTTAGTGAAAGCAACTTTCATTCTTGGTGAAACCCCTGAGATTCACAAACATGGATTTCTGCATCTCCGAAAGCAACTCCAACTCTTTTTTCATACTCTATTTTATTTAAGTTCTTTAAAGAACATAAGAAAGCAGAGATGAATTCAGTATAAGCAGTGCGATTCTGTATTTAAAATGCTTCAGATAGCTATATTTTTTCCAACATTTTGATCAAAACAGATTTATAAATTTTGCTGTAACCTTTAAAAATCATCTGATTTGATGAAGGTTGAAGTGACCTGCTCATTGCTGTGCTGAGGTGGTTTGGCAACATATTTTATCCTCTGCCTCTCTTCAGTATGCTTCAGTAGCATTTTCTGGACAATATTAAAAATGGCATATTTGCCTAAAGCAAATTCTTTTTGCCAGAGTCCCCCAAATTAGCACATATCCAGTTACTGCCCACCTTTTGATCTGTAACAATAAACTGCTGGATTTGTGTACTACCTACCTTGTCCCCAACACTCACAAGTGTCCCCTGAGAGCTCTGTCATGTATCAGGAAATGATGGTTGAGTGATGCAGCCTTCCCTTCTAATGTCATTGTGCTAAGTGCCAAACCTTAAGTACAGTGGGATCTACTCTGAGGAACTGTAGGATAGCGGTCCTGTCTTCCAGTTCTGAATTCCACTAATTCTCATTGCTGTGTTACTGATATCAAAGGGTGCTTTTCAGGGAAGATGATAATCACAGTGGATATGAACATAACACGTGTGGTGTTACATTTTAGTTAAATGGTATGCTCTATCTCACCCCTCAAAAATATACGGTTTATTCCAAGCCTGTAATCCTCCCCTGAAGTATCATGTGTCTGTAATCCCACTGGCCCAAGTCTTCTTCCTTGCCCACTTTGAATCTCCCTGTTAAACTGTGTCAGGGGGACCAGGCTCTCTCTTGGCCATTTTCTCCCTAGCTTCTCCCTCTTCCCCCTCCCTCTCCCTCAGAAACCATGCTGCTTCCCAGGGGTAGGACCCCCAGTAAACCCTCATCTAACTAGCACCCTTAGAAGCATGTGGAGTCTCCTTGCCTGCCTACTGCTACCAGCGAACATACAGTTTAGGGGGACTCCCTGGGGACCACAAACGAACTGCAACAAACATGTGCATGCAAAAGTGTAAGTTCAGGGTTGGTTTCTTTCTATTAACTTGCATGCAGGCTTTATTTATTTTTTCATGCATATTAAACCAATGAGTAGACCTTGAACTGAAGGTAAAAGGTAAACAAGATTTCCTGAATGAGGCCAAGATGTTCTAGCATGCCAATCTCATACATTTTACTCCCTGCCCTATACAGTATAGAGTGGACAGAAAAAGCAAGCTATGTTTACATAAACCGTAGCCTCTGCTAGGACAGGTATCTCATGTTAAACTAAGAAAGAGCTAAAAAGTGCAGTAAAATATACAGAGGCTCATGATAATCCCAGAAATGCTGGCTGCTGTTAAATGTTTTATTGTAGCCTTTCTGTACCCAATGGCCTTCCATCCAGTGAGACAGAAAGATGAACAGAGTAGGATGGGAGATAGCCAATGTCACGTTTGTCCATATATTCAGTACCAGCATGCTGCTTTCTTTCTCCTGTCCTGGACTCCAGCCCCACTTTTCCTGATGTACTCTCAGCTGACAAGCTGCAGGTGCAGACAGGCCTGGCTGGGGACAATTTCTTTAGGCAGGAAGGTGCAGCTGCACACACCTTAGTGCCTCAAAAATTTACAGCAACATCCCCATTTATTTCCATTGCTTTGTATAAAGCAATGTGTCTCAGATTGTTGATGTCTTGGGGTTCAGATGGTCGAGGTGACCCCGAGATCATAAAGAGTTTTTGCTTCCCTAGCCCAATGCAGCCAAATAAGGAGCCTGGAATGCGTCCAATTGCACTTTCAAGGTTGTTGATTTCTTCTTATCTATAACATTCTTTCTCTGATCTGCCGAGCTCCATCCAGAAAGGAGGCCATGGCCATCTGCCCCCAAGCCTCAGATGGCTCCCACCTTATACACTCAAAACTACATGTCTATGTTTACAATTTATTACTAGTTCACATCATCTATGTTACACAGTGAATCTCTACCTTAAACCAACAGAAAAGTGTCACCATCACATCAAGACATGGAGGACAAGATGAAGGAGAAGAAGACTAGGACATGCCCAAATTCCTCCATCTTGAACCCCCTGAATCACATTCTAAAAATCCCAAAAATTCTACTTTTCCACCCTGTGTTAGTTCAAATATCACACTACTAAAACCCTTGTGACTTGTAATTCCTCATACAAAATTGACAGCTTTTTCCACGGGCCAATATCGAAGCCACAGATATTTTTTACTTCATGTCAGCATCTCTGAGCCCCCTACCAGGGTCTCAAGACAGCCAGGGCAGCCAGAGGGATTTGCTGGACTCTGACATCGGATTAGAGACAAGTTTGCGAGGAAACACTCTGGAATTTATGTTTCCTCTGAAGAAAAGGGTTTCAGAAATCTCTTCCAGCTGATAAGAAATTAATGTTAATGGATGAAAGTGGAAAAAGCCAGACATTTATGACAAACCAAGTGTCCACACAGCACACGAAAAAAGTAAATAAACGCTAGATATTGAAATGTCAGAACCATACTACATACACATACCAGGGGAAAACAAAACAAAACAAAACAAACAAAACAAAACCCAAAACAAAACAAAACCACAAAAAAAACCCTACCAAAAAACCCAACGGCTGATGACCTGGTGGGGTGTAGGGGGAAAAATGGTGATGGCTTTTGTCTCAGGGAAGAAAAAAAACAACAAGTTCATGCAGTAGCTTGGGAAAAAACATATAGGAAGCTGGTGCATCTCTGGTCTCTTTACAGCACATGAAGTAGGTGGATTTAGGGTCCTTTCATTTGCTGGGTCTGCTTTCCTGAAGTCTGGGACCACACTTTTTGCTGACACAGACATGATAGAGACTAGTATTACATATTTTTGATGGGACAAATTGATAAAGCAGGATTCTTCTCCCAGCTCTGGCATTTGCTCTGGTGTTTGCTGAAAGCCAAGACCCAGCAGTCCCAGAAAATGCAGTCATACTTTGCACATCTTGTTCTTCTGTGTCTTACATTGCAAATGCAAGATGTGGCTGGGGGTGTGTATTTTATAGCCATCTGTCAGAGGTGGGGCAGTTATCTTGTGTTAATTGACAACCTGTTAAAACCAGGCGGGGCAGTTTTCTTTCTCTTCCAGACCCACCCTACCTCCAGGAGGTATCTTCTGTTAATGGGCCATTGAGTCTCACTGCATGACTGATCAAATTACATCATCCCACTAGAAGATGCTCTGCCCAGAGAGGATCCAAGCATTCCTACCTGGATAGACTCTGATTTTTGGAAAACCACAGCAGCCTTTTCCCACTGGATACCCAGAGCAGCTTTCTTTTCCACTGGATTCCCAAAGGAAGACCAGGTCTATCTACACCACCTCGGGACCTTCAGAGGAAAACTTCTACAGGATCACTGCTTCAACAGAACCACATCTGTCACTGCAGGAGGACTGCAGCCACCGTTCAATCAGACTGCTACCAACACCCTGACCAACAGAATGTCAGGTCATATTCTGACTGTGTCAGTGTTGTTTTGTATTACTGCATTTTTATTTTTCCTAATAAAGAACTGTTATTCATACTCCCATATCTTTGCCTGAGAACCCCTTAATTTCAAAACTATAATAATTTGGAGGGAGGAGGTTGACATTTTCCATTTCAAGAGAGGCTCCTGCCTTCCTTAACAGACACCTGTCTTTTCAAACCAAGACATGTTGTTAAAGAGGGAGACAGGGAGGATTCTTTTTAGTAGATTTATCAGATGAAAATAAAGTGCAAACAAGACAATATTATATCTGACAACTGTTTATTGGTAAAGGAGTGTTCCTACTGAAGGAGATAGAAACACGAGCAGAGAGGGAAAGAGACAGAGAGAGAAACAAGACAGGGACAGTGTTACCGTAAGAACTCTAGCATTCTGTCAGCATCAGCAAGGCAAATGGTGCTGTGTGTTGCAAGCCACAGCGAGCTGCGTGCCTCTAGCGGCGGCTTGGTGGGGCTTTCAAAGTGGCAGCATGCCTCTGGTGTTGGCTGCAAGCTGCAGCGAGCCTTGCACAGCTCTTGTGAATGGCTCGGTGCAAGTGGCGGGTAGAGGCTGGTCGCCACGGGTTGATATTGTGGCAGGTGTGGTTGCAGCTGGGTGCAAGCAGCAGTAGCCACTGCTGTGCCCAGGAAACACGGCAGGGGCGGCTGGCTGTGGCAGCACCTGCTCTGCTGGGGAGGCAGCAGAGCATGAAGTTGTTGTGGCGATGAGCTGGTTCATGGAAATGGTGAAGCAGGGCAAAGCAGGTGCGGACAGGGAAGCAGGACCACCAGGATGAGAAACCGAGATGGGGAGAGACCCTAGAGGTGAGGCCCTGCTTCCTCCAAGAAACCCAAAGAATAATGGCTCTCATTGTGTCACAGTTAACTGCTTTTATGTGCTAAAAGCTCCTCCCATAGCCCAGTTTCCTGGGCATTCTTTCCAGGCATCTGGGCATTTGTCCCACCGGCAAGTGTGGGGGAGGGGGAGATCGTGGAAGCGTTCTCTGCCCTGACTGGCTGCCAGGCAAAGCCTTCCCAGGGACAGGGCTGCCAGCACATGTACAGCCCTTATAGGAATCTTCTATTTTATGAGTAACATATGTTGAGGCATAAATAAAAATCAGATTAGTCCCTCTCACTAGGTATCACAGAGGTAAATGTCTTAGGAAAGGTACACAGGAGATCATGTTCTCTAGGTCATAGTCTGCAATGGAGCTCAGGGCAGAGTCAGAGATTATATAGAGTACTCTTGAGAGTTCCCTGCCACTTACCTGTCCCTCTGACCTCCCACCATTGATAATAGCATCATTATTTCGATGATTGCCAAGTCATTTTATAAAAAGAGACTAGTCTTCAAGAAATTGAAAGCACAGAGTAAACTGATGAGGTTTATTGGTGTGTTTTAAGGTTGTTCTTTAGCTTTTCGACACAGAATGCCTTTGTCCTGACATAAGCATGTCTTTTGAGGTTTGTGCATTTTTTCTGTTTATTCCTAGTTGGTGTTTTTGCTTTCTTTTCTCACTGTGCTGGGATCACCCATCTTTGCTTTGAGCTTGCTTCAAGGGCTTTCCATACCTCCTCCCAATGATGTTAATAGCTCTTTGGTTCTGGGAATGGGTCACTTAGTAGTAAGGAATTCACATTTATATACTTTCATATTTTCTAATTTACATCTCACAAAAGGGTCATGATACACTTTTGCCTTCTGGACCCTTGTCCTACCAGTTGGCTTCACCTGCTCTTCCCCAGTGACTTGTGTTGTTGGTAGACCACTGCTCCTTAATTTAATGCGTGCTGGAATGTTTTAAGTCTTCCCCTCTAACAAGTTTGTCCTTCTCTTAAGGGTGGTCACTGACATGTGATTTCTCTGCCTTTGAAATTATTTTTGCTTGCCTTAGAGGATGAATAAGTTCATCTCCCATGCCTCTGCATGATTTACTACATTTTTAAATGAACTGTAAGGCTAGCATATACCTTCTCTGGCACATGCCTCCTCTTGGCATGCATGGAGCAGCTTCTAGCGTGAGCTCTCCAGCTTGAGAGCTGTTATTTCTGTGCCATGCTCTTGGTCAAGCCTGTCTGTTCAAGAGAGGATTCTTCTCTTCTGTAAGTTGTGCAGAATCGTTATCACAATTTTCTGGTTCAAGGGGAAGGAGCTGGCACTGGCATTTGGATTGACTCTTGTCTTTCTCCCATCTTGGGAGTGTTCTCAATTTCTTCTTCACCCAGCAGTTTGAGACAAGGTTTGGAATGCAATGGACACTCTAGGGAGGTGAATTTCTTTGGTGTTTTCTAGACCAAGGCCAGCTTGTTTTGTCCAATGATTAAAAGAACCTGAAAGAAGTAGTGAGGTAAGCAGGAAATGGCACATGATCTTCCAGTTTTTCCTGTTGCTTTCTGTATGCAATGAGTGGTGTTTTCTACACTGATGCCAGAAAATGCACTCTAATTCTCTAGTGTCAGCCTGACAGCTTAGTTTTCTTGGCATATTTTAGCATCTACAATCACAGACAGTCAGTACTTAATATAGGAGAACTCCCATGGAATAGAGACTTCGGAGTGAAAGAGACAGGAACGAAATGTGTTCATCATTCTGTACTTTGGCCAGCAGAACCTGCTGATTCTGCAGCAGTGTCTGTACTGGTCCCAGCAGAAGATGCCTTGCACATGGTTGATTGAAACCACATGTTCAAATTACTGTGAGAAGAACCTGAATTGCACATTTTTTAGTGTGAATCTATTCTGGGGCTTTATAAGATTTGAGTTTCTCTCCTCTTTTTGGTGCAGTGAAACAAGATCTGTCTCAAGTGGAAGGAAAGGATTATACAGCACATGAGTAGTCTGCTGGAATGGTGATGTTAGGGAGACTTGCTTCAGTGACTATAGAAAAGTGTTATTTATAAAACAAGGCAGTATTAGCCATGACCCACTGAAAAGAGATTAATCTCTTGCAGAAGCTGAAACTGATTAGTGTCCTCTGATTCCAGCTCTCAGAGAGAAAGCTGTGGTGAGCATAGGGCATCGCATCCTGTCTGACATTTAAGTTTTGTGCTCATGCAGCATTTACAAGCACAGCACAGTGACTTCTGTAGCCCACAAAGGGGTCAATACATCAGACAAAGCGTGCATTCATCTCAGAAGCTGTTTTGGCTCGCTGGAAAACAAAATGTGTACAAAACTCCTTCTAAGAAGGATGTCTGCAGCAGATGACCACTGTAAAACTTGCTTTGGTGTAGGCAGCAATAAACAGACTCACTCACTACTCTGGAGCTGCTGGTGCTCACAGACCAGACTGCTGGGGTAACTGCAACAGGTCACACAAATGAAGAGGTACAGCCTAGCTTCCTGTACGGCCCTGATATGCCTCCCCTGCTCTGCGGACCAGGTAAGTTTCCCAATGCTTTTATCTTGGGTTTCCCTTTGCTTTTATCTTGGGTTTATTGCACAGTTCTGCTGCAGATCAGGAGCATTCTAGCCACAGGCCAGCTGAGTTCTGCCTGAGACTCAGGTGGCTTTAGCCTCACTGGCCTGCAGCCATGGGAGCTCAGTGGGCAGAGCTCAGGGACTGTGACAGGGTGGTGCAAGGTGAAGGGTCCTACTCTGTTTGAAGAGAATCTGGGCTTAGGAGTCATGGAGAATTCGGCATTTTATATGCAGTGGGTTTTGTCGTTCAGTGCTCTCCACTCCCAGGAATTTCTAATACTTTTTGTTTTTCCCAGGGAACATGCTCTGTGTGCTGGGGTTTGTTTCAGCCCTTACAATCAGTGTACTTGATAAAGTGGGTAGCTGGGCTTGGATGGCATTATCCAGCAAGAATCCAAAAAAGTTGTACATGTTTTTTTTCCCCATCTCTATCCTGGAAATCCCTGGTGCAGGAGCACTGCCACTGGAGCAACAGGAGCCAGTCTTGGCCAGGAGAGGGCATTCACACCCCTTGGGTCAACCCTGCAGAGCAGTGCTAAGATTGCATCTGTGAGCCACCAGCCAAGAGTTCCCTGCCTAGAGCCTTCTAGGGAGCTCAGGTGTTACTCAGACTGGCAGCAGCTTTCTGAGCCAGTTACTTTTTGACTGTAGGTGGCTCAGAGGAGCATACTGTGCACAAAACTAGCTGGTAGCCTCCCTCTGAACTGCCTTCTGGCTCACAGGATTCAGGATAGGAAATAGCTAATGTGGACAGTACTGTTCTCTTCCTAGACCTTAACTTCAATTCCTCCTTGCATTCTGCCTAGGAACAAGCATTACAAGCAACTTCAGTCTGCAATTTTTATGCACCTTGATCTATTAGATGGGTTCCTTCTCATGACAGTACTCTCAACTGGTTTCTGTAGTTGTGTTCTGACTCCTGTTTATACTGTACCTTTCTGTTGTGTTTCACTTAAGGATGTGCAGTGGACTCTTAACAAAGCCTGCTCAAAACAGTCTCTTGCAGCCAGAACCTTTACAAAAATAAGAAAGCTTTTTTGTTTTTTTTTTTTACTGGATAGTGTTACAGAAGGCATGTTTTAGAGTCAGTACATCTCAAATTTCACTTAGAGGTATATGGAGCTGCCTTTTACTTCCCTTTTAACTGCCATCACTTCTTAAATCTCTTGTGCTCTTCAGTGGCTTGCAGAAAGTAACACTGGTGTGAAGCTGGGCTATTTTCGTGGAGAGTGAGGGCACATCTTATCTTTGCAGCACATTCAGGACATACAGCACCTTCCCGTTCCCTACTGGCTCCTGGTCCTCACTATCATGTTCTTCCACAACTGTATTGCCCCCTTTGTGCCAGACACCATGTACTGTTCTATGGCTGTGGCCCATTGACTGACATAAGCGGACAAAGCCTTGCAGGCCTCAGTTTTGGAGGGACTAGGAAATACAGGAGTAATAAGACTTGTTCCTTCCACTCGTGAAATGTGGAGAAGCATGCCTTTGACACCTAAAAGTTTGAGGACTCTTTGACCCTTCTTTCCCTTCAAAGTCTTCTGAAAGACTGCAAAAAAACCTTAAAGGAAAATTACTCATCCAATATTTAAAGCTTCAAACACTGCCAAAGGAGGATCAGAAGGATTTGGGAGAATGGGAAGAAATACTCCATTTAAAAAACAGTCCATAGACATTTCACCTTCGTGACAGACCAACAAAGTGGGTGCCTCCTGAGCTGGGTGGGGTGTCAATGTCACATGCTTGGGGCAGCTCTGCCCTGCAGATGCCGCACTGTTGTGTCCAGAATATAACTGGGCTTGCTCAGCCTGAGTCTGTACAAGAGGAAGCCTTTGTATCTGGGGAAAGCTTCAGACTTCTTTTTTAATGCTTGCCTTTGCTTAAAAGAAAGCACCAACCTGGCTATCTAAATTGAGACTCCTGCTTCTGTTCTGGTGTTCTGCCACAGACTTGTTTTGCTGCTTTGTTGCCCTTTGTGGATGATGTAGCAGCCTCTGTCACATTATGAGGATGAACTTTTATATTAGGTAAGGCCTGCAGTAAAATAAATAAAATTATTTTGGTACTATTTCATTAGTGATTTGAAAGAAGCCACTGTGAAATCAGGAGGGAAGAAATGTCATCAGTATGACAACTGATGGGAAGCAGCCATACAGATAGGCAAATCGCCAAATCAAATTTAAGTTTTTAATCAAATCAAACCAGTTTTAATCAAATTTAAGATCTTTAAATAAACCTCTGTGAAAGCTGTTAAACTGAATTACTGTAAATTCTATAAAGAATTTGAGGAAATTTAATAAAATTTCTGCATGTCCCTAACAATTTGACAGGGTGGTATTTTTGGTTTGTTTTTTGCTGTAACTAGGGTCTTTTTAAAGTAATTTACTGTGCAATTCCTGGTATTTCTCAAATGTAGATGTTCAATATAAATTTTTCTTGCTGCTATATTATTTTTAAACCATGGTCCTGCCCCTCAGCATTCACCCCCTTTAACTGATCAGGCATTTAGCCTCTTAAAAGAGGATGTCAAAACTTCACCCATGTAGTTTGGACATGCTGCAGCTGTGAGCTTTGCTGATACAGGAAACACATGCTCCACTTTAACCTGCAGTTTCACTCTGCACTTGCTGACTTGCCTTCAAAGTGTCTGAAAATACCAGCTCCTCTGTGGTGCACATTAATTAAAAAGAAAGTAAACCACCAAGGGCTTGGTAGTACAAACCAGACAGAACCAACCTTGTTTACACATCCTCTCATTCAAACCCTTCCTGCCCATATGCTTGTGCTCAAACTTACTTTCTATCAAAATAACCAGATCAAGAATACTAATTTTTTTTTTTTTCTTGGCTTCATTTTATTTTAAGCAAGTTTATCCAGGATAAATATTCTGGTTAAAATCAGCAGGCAGCTGCTTGCATTTTTTGGGGCAGTTTACGACAGCTCCCTCATTCTCTCTGTAGCAATTGGCATATTAATTGTGAGTACCCAAAACATGAAGCACTTGCCGATAACTTGCTCCTGATTTTTTGAAACATCCACTACAGCCCCCTCAAACAGAATTTCACCTGTTGTAGCTGAACGAGGAGTCCTTTATATCCTTGCAAACTGCGAGACGCACCTTAACCTGACTTAAATTACAAGAAGTAACAGTCCCCTGGTTTTACCTCTGTCCTGTAATTGTGCTATTGTAGCATCAACCTGTGGTATATGGCTGTGTGTTTTGGGAAGCCTGAGACAAAAACAGAAAGGACTGGGATAAGCTTTGCAAGTGGGAAAAGACAACTTTCATGCAATCAGGCCCCATTTTGTCAAACAGCTTCCATTCCTTATTTCCATAATTATCATGGTATAACAATGTTTTCCCTTCCCCTTTGTTAAAACCTGGGGTTTCGCTTGAGTGCCAGACACCTAGTAACACTTCAGTTCTCAGTTCAGAAGTCTCAGCAAGAGATAGAACAGCTGGTCCGCTACACTACTAACAGCCAAGGAAAGGCCGTGTCACTGCCACTCCTGCCAGCCCACTTTGCACAGCCCCGTGTGCCACTAGGACCCATGGGAAGCAGGGTCCCCTGGAAGAGATTTTCTGTTCATTCCCTTCACCACCGTGTTAGACTGAGAGGTGTCCTTGCTATTGTCTGTGCCATGCTGACTCTGCCAGTCTTCACTCTCTTGGCATTCACGTCTATGCCCCTGCTGGTCTCTACCAGCTGGCTCAAAATCACTTATTCCTTTGCTACTGTGAGTTCCCAACTGTAGCTGGGTGTATTGTGGCTATACACCTACATCGGGATGGCGTATTACAGCTGCCCTGGTTTCCTGCTGAGCAGGTTTCACAGTCACAGTTTGAAGTCACTAGCTCTGCAAGCCTGGCATCTTTGCTTAGCAAACAAATAACCCTGAAGAATCAACATGGAGCAGAAGGCAGAGTACAGAGCAGAGTTTGAACATCTCCATGGATGAAGACTCTGCAGCATCGCTGGGCTACCTGTCCCAGTATCTGACCCCTCACAGGAAAAATGTATGTCCTTGTGTTCAGCTGGAATTCTGTGTGGTTTCTCTTTTGCCCATTGCCTCCTGTCCAGAGCAAAATCTGGCCCCCTCATCCTTGCTTCCTCCCAGCAGGGACTTGAGCACACTGGCCAGATCTCCCAGAACCTTCTTGAGCAGCTCCAGCTCTTTCAGCCCCTCCTCCTGTGACAGATGCTCCAGTCTCTTTATCACCTTTGTGGCCCATCACTGCATTCCCTAAACCACATCTGTCTTGTACTAGGCAGGCCAAAACTGCACACAGTGCATTGAGACTTGTAAAATACAGACTGAAGCCTGAAAGTGGACAATAGTGCAGGCAGCTCACACTTGGACTTGTGTTGCCCTTCATGCCTAAGCACATTCTCCCAGCAGCCAGGACGTTAAACAGTGTCACAGTAGAGCACACATTTATATAAGTCTGCAGGACAAGACTTCGGAGAAAAAGCCATCATTTTTATGATCTTCATGAAAAACCTGGCATAGCGACAAGTTCCCATTACTTCAGCAGGCCCCTGGGCTTCTGATACACCTGGACACAGAGCAGTCTGTGGTTTTGGCTTAAGTGGCACATAGCACACACCCAAGCAAGCAGCAGAGGAGGAGTCACGGAGAAACCAAAGGCAGCATAGCTACTATTTCTAATATCTGTATATGTAGGAGGAGGGATGAAAGCAGTAGGTAAGACACCAGAATTAGAAGGCAGCTGGACCTAGAGAGGCTGATAAGTAAAGCCAATTTCTGCATTCTTGCTGACTATGAAGAGTATTTCGATCTGCCTGAGGAAGAAGAGGTTGTCCAGCTAGCAATATAAGGAACTTGAAAGAAAGGAAGAGCAAATTCAACATGAGACTGTCTTAATTCCCAGAAGCAAGATAAAACTACAAAAATAATCAGGGCTACTAATTTAGCCCAATAATTTAAACCTGCCTCTTCCTGCTCACCAACTGTGTTCAAAGGGAGGAGTGGCGACTGGGCAGAGCCTAGGCAGCCAGCTTAGCCTGCTGGGAGGCTTCTAGACACCAGTTTTTGGCCAGCAATGAATTGTTACCCAGTCCACTTCTTGCACAGCTGATAACCAGTAACGACAGAAACAGCTTACATGTGGCCAAATCTCCCCCAGCCAGGATGCTGTGACTTGTCTTTGCGCCTTAAGAAAAAATGGAAAATTCCAGTCTCAATGACATTTAATCCATCACCTTTTCCAAAGGGAAGTGATACACCGTTTCAGCAAAGCTTCAAGCTGAAATTCACTGGGTGGCCAACTCCAATACACAATCACCCAGGTAGCCAAGATACTTGGACATCCATACATCAGTATGATCATATATTGTACATAAGCAACTCTGACAGCCTTCCAGGGAACATACTACAGAAGTTACTCATTTAGTGCTTAAGTAATTGTCTCCACACGTCACTACTTTATATATCTTCTCGCACTAGACAAGCCCCAAGAAAGTACTTTGGATATTCCAAGTCTGATTAGCCTGTATAAATAATTTTAAAAACTCACAATAATGCTGCTTAAAACACCAAGAGAGAGGAGGACATTAATCTTTTTCATTGAAAGTGCAATGCAGGGTGTGATGCAACAGATGGACAGTATCAGACCGTGCCAGCTTAAAAGGTTTTGTACAATTGCCAGCAGTCTTCACAGGGGAAAAAACATGCATGATCTGGGTTAACTGGTACACATGAGGATCAGGAGGGATGACACATTGCAGCTGGCCAGCTCACTAGAGCTGTGAGATCTTGTTCAGGACAGACACAGTGACATATCTAGTGACTAAGCAACACATATGCCTAGAACCACACATGACTCACTAAAGCATGCAAAATCCTCCTTTAACCACTTCTTAGGCTAAGCTTGCTATGGACACCATAATTTTCCTTCCCAGACTGAAGCAGCAACTCTGATAAAATTCTATCCCAAGTGTTTAGCTACAAACCGTCAGTTTTGGGTAAAGCAATGAGGTAACACACACAGTTGCAAACTGGAGCTATACTGCAGTCTACTGTTGGCTGCAGCTCAAAGGAAAGACAATACTTCATTGCTAATGTGCTATTTATCAAGGACATTGCCACATTCCCACACTGTGCAGATCCCACCCAAACTGTATATGTTTCAGAGGAGAGTTCTGAACTGTAAATGGCCAAACATAGAAGTCACTCTTGAGTGAGGGCTGGCCAAGAGGCTCTGCAAGCATTACAGTCTGGAAGTTCAGCGATGAATGCCGCAGACACACAACATCCTGGCCGAGAGGTCACTGTGTCCAGCTCACCCAGAATTGCAATGTCTGTAGTAGCTGGAGTCCCCTCCTCTGTCAGCCAAGGCAGTCTGGTACATGAAGGGTGTTTTATGCGCTCACTAGAAATACACAAGTGAGGGTATGATTTCTCCACATAAAGAGTATCACTCGTTCAAGGGGAATGACTATGTTTTTCTACAAATAGCCTTAACTATTTAAAATATTTGAATATTTAATTATATTTACAATATTGCTGAAGAACATAACAGAATCCCAGTGTGGTACAGAACATCATGGAATGTTGCCCACAAAAAGGCATTAAGCTGAGCTCTTGCTACTGTCCTACCGCTCCCCAGGGATAAGAGGCATCTGTCTCATGTGCAGCCTTGGGCAGGATGTCACAGCTCCTGAGTACAGTCCCATGTATGGAAAGCTGGAAAATATATGTGCAATTTTTCCCATTTCAGACCATAAAATTCACCAGTGTATCTATAGTGAAATAGAGTACTGACCAATTTATAAAAGCAGGCATCTATAGCACACAATGAAGTGACAAAATACTTGTTTATTGGTAACTGCATGTTCTTCATTTGGTTCCAAATCCCCTTCTGTCCCAGAGAAATGCTCAGATCTACCTTACTTTAAGAGCTGAAAACATTGTTTAGGTTCCAAAGAAAGAAATGCAAGAAATTTAACAGAATTTAACTGATTTAAGGCCTAGTTAGAAGTTGCTCCCTAAAGGACAGGCACGGAAGCCAGTGCACATCAGGTACTAAATAAAAGATGCCAAATGCTTGGTATTGCAGATAGCATCAGCTACACCAGAGCCTGCAATGTAGGAAGCAGCCTTTGGTTGACTTTTCTATATGACAGCTTCCTGTCAAGTAGTGGAACAAGGAACTGTGAAATGGCTAATGTGTCTGAGACTCAGCCAGAGGCTGGAGAGCACAGACTCAGGAAGAGGTGCTAAGAAGTACATATTTGGAACTAACATAAGTTCATTCCATGGTTGCAGTTTGAACTACTGCCTTGTTTTCCTGGGGGGAAAATTAACAGGCAGCTCCAAACCAATCTGAAAGATACAAAGGCATTCAAATCCCTACTTTCCATGGCTGTTTCTATCCTACCACTGCCCCATATGTTTCACTATTTGAAAAGGCAACTAAGTCTTAAAGCAGTCACCCACTGCTGCTGACACAAGGAAATTGTGCGGCCTAAGAAGCATTACAATCACAGAAAGGTTTAGCAGCTGGCCCAGCATTCTGTCTCAATGGCAGCAGTTCCCAAGGAACGTGGGCTAGAACAGCAGTGGATACACAGAGTAAGGCCACTTGTTCTTTGATGTACCTGATGGGGCTGAAAACATTGTTTAGATTCCAAAGAAAGAAATGCAAGAAATGTTTTGATATGTCAGATTTAAAAGGGCAGTATTCAATATATTTAACAGTAAGCACCTAGAGTTAACATTCATGTATCAAAGCTCTGGATAGGATCATCAATCAATTCAGGGAACAAACCCTCCCCCAAAAACATCTGTGCAAAACATGCACATCTTCAAACATGATTTATGACAGAGTTTAGTAATACAAACCTGCTGTTTGTGCTGTCTTTGATTTTCCAGCTAAGGTAATCTACAGCAAAATCAACTACAGCTCTAGGTTATCTGAGACAAAGGCAAAGGTAAGGCTGATGAAAGACAGGAGAATTCACTAACAGAGCCAGCACAGGCAAAACCAACAGGAAATTCACTGTGGTGGAAACAGGAGAACTGTCCTGGTTTCCACAGGGAGCCAAGTGAAAACATGTGCTGAAGCTAAGCTCTTTCTACAAAGGCTGGGTCAGAGTGACCTGGCTAACACCTCAGCCTATGCTCCGTGGTAAACTTGTTGCCTCTGTTCAAAGAGTACCATAAAGCTATTGTTTGCACCCACATCTTTACCAGAAAACATACAAGCACTCAACTAGAAGCACCTACATGAAACAGCAAGTTGGACTGCCACATGTGAAGAGCTAGTCACAGTAATCAGCAAATTACTAAAGGCATCCAAAAGACCTGAATACCTAGACAGGGGAAGACCACAATCTTTACAAACGTGTGATTGTTTACGAGTATAAAAGAAATTTTCAGCATATTTTGTCCTTGTATCAGCAATCGTGCTGCAAGCAAGAAAGGAGAAAAAGAAGCAATGACTGAAGACACTCTTAACCATGGCAGCAGTACTTGTTCCTGTGGAACATATTTATAGTCATATAACTGCAAGTCAGCTCACGCTGGAAGCTGCATCCCATTGCCTAGGGGAAAGCCCCACCTAACTGCTTTACTTCAGAAGCTTCAAGTGGAACCTTCAGGCCCCTTCCCATTCACAATGTTTGACATGTTGACTTTATGGAAGCCTGATTCCCCAAGAGCCTCCTGAGCCACAAGCTAGCTAAGAATCTAACAGTCTGAGGAACTTACCACTAAGTAGCACTGCTTTTTCACAAAGTTACACTAATGTCTGGCTCTGCCACCCACCCAGGCAGGCCAGTACTCACATCTTCCACAAGGCACCCATTCCCTCCCCAAATCACCAGGTTACCCTTTCTTCATGCTCTAACATAACCCTCATCCATTTGCCTAAGAATCTATTCACAAGCAATAGTGTATAAACTGACCTCACCGGCATAGACAAGACTTTTCCATAAGTGACAGTGACATGATGACCCTAATAGAACGCAATGCTGGATTTCCCCCCTGGTGGATTGAGGACTTTGTTGTGCGAGCGTGGCCTTGGCCCTAGTCGCGGTTCGTGATTGTCTGTCTTGGGTTCTGGCTCCTTGCATTGCTCCTCTTTGCCCAGAGCCTTTTTTTCGCCTCCGTCTTCCAGCTGTGGTTTGGTATTTTCTGTAGGTACATTAAAAAAAAACATATTATCAGATCACTCACGATTCTGTAGTGCACAAAGTACCTCATCTTCTGTCAGCTGCATTTTTTCCCCACATCTCCCATCCATAGCACACCAAGGTTTCTCATTACCTATTCATTTTTCTATGAAGGAAACATGTAGTAAGAAAAGAATTTCACTTTTCTCAACAATTCCTCTCTTCCTTCAGCAATCTTTCTAATCTTCCATATCCTTTCTAAGGATATAAAGACTGAGCAATACACTTCAGAATTATTTTGGCAGTTGCAGGAAATTAAAAGATACAAGGTACCAATCAATCTTTTCATACTGAACTTGAAAGCAGGATTCTCATTCATTCTTTAACAGTTAGCGGAGCAATAATAAATTTTGTCAGTTAGCTGTTCATTATTTCCAACTGTAGAAGGCCAAAATTAGCCACTTGAAGGAGATGGCAAGAGAGGAAGTGGCAACCTGGTAAGATGTTTGCCATATACAGATTCCATACATATTTGTATATAGACATACACATGGTATCAAGCAAAGTCTAAACTCACAGACATGGAGTACCATGACTCACACCTGTGTTCTCCTCAATAAGAGGAAGAAAACCATTTCCCTCAGACAAGTGATTAGACTTCTGACTAAACTTTTCAGTCATATTATCCTAAAAACATGAGACTAAGGCTAGTGTTTAAGCAGAAGCACAAGAAACTTCCTCATAGCTTATCTTCCCAAAGAGAACAAAGAATTTCTCTTGCTGACCTTCTAGTTTCTTTGGTATTTCCTCTTCTTTTAAGACAATGTGATCCTGCAAAGAAATCAAAAACTATCTTAGTGTATTACTGTTCTCAAACAACAAGTCTGTCACAAAATCCTTTGGGAAATTTTGCTTCACTTCCAAGTTTATAGATCACTGATCAAATAAAAGCAAGCTGTGTGCAACCCTTCATCCCCTCTACTTCTATAGAACCCCAAAAGCAGGGGCACAAATCTTCTATGTTATGGCAAGGTGTACATCTCAAGACAATTCATTGTAACATGGATGAAGAGGCTACATTAGATCATCAAAATGGTAAACACAACAGTGGTGGGTTAACTGCCAGACTCAAATTTAGAGGCCTTCTCCAACCTTAAGGATTCATTGATTTTAAGGACAGGAATTACCATTCCTCTCAAGTACCTTCTATCACGAAGAAGTTGGTATACACAACTATAATACACATACAAACAGCCCTTGAAGACCCTATTTGTACGCAGTAATTCCTCTCTTCAGCAAGTACCCCCAGTCAGGTAATAATCAAAACATTTAAGACCATTTCCCTAACAATCTGAACTGACTGTTGGAAATACACAGTCACACTTCAAAGAAGTGTGTTTTCCCACCCATGAAACTCAACTCGCAGGTCTTCTTTCCAGCTCAGTATCTCCCACAATACCAACACCTTAAATTTAAGGGGAAAAAAACAAAGGCAAGAAAGTTAAATTGGATTGATCCTTTCTTCCTAAGTTTCCAGGAAAAACGAGACTGTTTTCAGCGCAATTTCTGTCCTGGTTCCAGCCAGTACAGGGGTTAATTTTTGCAGTAGCCAGGGAGGGCAAGGCCAGGACCTGAAGCTTATTCTAAACCACATCATGTGCAGGGTGTGGGGTGGGCAGTGGTGGCTGAGCAGCTGGGGTAGTGCTGTGTTCCATGTGGTGAGACCTCACACGTGAACCATTGTGTATTCATCATTCCTGTACATTTAATTATTAATTTTGTTGCTGTTACTCTTCTTTTATTATCTCATTTCTATTTCCAGTAAATTGTTCATATCTCAACCCATGGTTTTTACCTCCAATTTCCCTCCCCCAGCCACAGGGGGAAGGGGGAGGGGAGCATGAGTGGTGCATGTTTTGGAGTGTTTTCAGCAGGAACACTAAACTGGGGAATACCATTCCTAAACCACAGCAGTTTCATAGAATGTTAAATTTCCATGCTATTTGACATGCCAAAAATATTATCACCATAATAGCTACTCACTTATTAGTATTTACTTAGAGTAAGGCAGGCCGTAAATCTGCATATAGGGCACTTAAATACAGTAACTGGTAATGTATCCTGCTTTTTCCAAACTCAGAAGTGGTCATAACTACAAGGAACTATTACACATCCCAGCTTTAAGATCAAAACTCAACTGTACAACCTATATGTAACAACTGTAACACTATACTAAGAGACACTTTTGTTTATCTTGTACAAATCAAGTACCTGCTGGGCCCGACACCACTGACCCAAAGTTCACTTTTTCATTGTTGATCACTGTAAGCCTAATCTGCTGAAGTGCTTTCAAGGTGACTGTAGATACATGTATTTAAGACAGCTGAAGTGCACAGCCAGGCCTCACAAAGGTTTATGACTGTAGCTCACCAACTTCCCAAGCCTGCATCAAGATCACATCTGCTAAACTGCAGAATCAGGAGAAATAACTCCTCCCTATCCAGTTTAAATGCCTCTTGGCTCTGTCAAGAGCTCCAGCTGTACCTCACTCACAAGAAAGATCAAAGACTTTTTTTTTTTTTTGAATGCACATGCACAGTCTAATTAATACTTTTACAACAAACTGCAGAGATCTAACACACCCAAAGTACCAAGCTATCAAAGAGACTCTGGGACTGTCTAACTCAAAGTCACTACATATATATTCAGTTCTGTTCTTATGGAGAACACAGACACATGACAGGACCCTGAAGCTGCTTCTTCATCTGACAGCAACATTAGTACAAATACCTTGGGTTTGTTCGGGTGTGCTCGCACAATGCTGGGAGAGACAGGAGACCCAAAGATATCACTTGTCTTCCCACCAGGTGGATTCAAGCGTGGACGAGGCTGAGCAGAAGTAGAGTCCTCAAAAATGCCACTTTCTTTTCCTCCTGCAAGGCAGTTGTTAAGAATTTTGTTCTAGATTAGTTTTATCACACTATATTAAAAAAAAAAATTAAATATGTAATTCAAGGACTTCTACAACCCTGCTGCCTAGGGACTTAGTTGTATTTGCCTAGCTGAAATCCTTTGCTACAATTCACCTGCAGGTCTCAAATTGAGCTAACTGCTGACAACTCTACAACAGAAGCAGTTTCCTTTCATCATTTCTTAGAACCTCAATTTGGAAAGAATTAAGACTTGAATAATGTGCTAAAAAGTCTGCAAACATACAGATCACTGAAATATTCATATATTCAGAAGTTTGAAGAGATTTGTTGTTCAAATCTACTCAGTAAAAAAGAATGCAACATAAAAAGACAGATCCAAGTGCTCCAGTTTAGGAGCACAAAACCATTCTATGCTGCAATTCACAGCCCACACAGAAAGAGGGAGCAGCTTTTACCTGGAGGGTTTGTTCTTTTTGGAATGTTCTGAGGTTTTTCTGATGCTCCAAAGATATTGGATGCCATCCGGTGTGGCCTGCTTGAAGAAGACACTTCTTCTGTACTCCCAAAGAGATTACTAGAATCTCCCCCTGGGGGCTTCAATACCCTATATCAGAGAAGAAACAAGATACAAAAGTTCATTTAAAATTTATAGCATTCAACATATTTGATGTCCCCTTCCCATTCTCTCCTTGTATGTAACTATCCTGATTTTAACTTACTTTAAGTAATTCTGCTATACCCAAGAACTATCTACTTTTCAAGAGCTGTTTTAATATTCTTAAGTTCAGCACAAATATTGCCAATCTCCAGGTCAGTCAACTTCATCATTAAGGTATCTATGATTTCATGGAATGATCCTAACACTGCCACCAACACAAATGGCTATGCTATCTGTGGTGTTCCAGAGATTAAGAGAAGCCATATGATGGTCAGGATTTTAAAAATAACCATTACAACAGAATCAGACTTTCTGCTAAACTGCACATACCGACTTTGAATCTGTGATACAATTCAAACCCACTGACTTTTAAATAAAGGCAGACATTTCATAACTACTAAAAAATTTGCTAGTTTCAACCATCAGTTATCATAATAGCTGTTTAGATTAGAATGGAGAGACAAAACAACAAACCAATTCTTTAGTGGTCAAGCTGCAAATCCATTAAAACTAAAGCTTTGCACCAGAGGATATCAAATGGATCTGCAGAAAAATTAGAGCTTACAGCAGAAATCATCTGACTTCTTGAAAACTTACCATAAGTCATGCTTGTCCTTCAGTAGTAATGCCTAGGTCCTGTTCAACAGACTACAGGTTCTGCCCCAAAAAGGAACCAAACTATTATTTGGGAGTAGAATCAGTGGAAATTTATTGGAAAATTAACAGAAAATGCACAGGAAAGAGATTAATACCTAAATATGGCCGGAAAGAAGTTCAGCAAAAAAAAGGGCCTGGGAGTGCTTGTTGACAGTGGCTGAACATGAGCTGGGTGTGCCCAGGTGGGCAAGAAGGCCAGTAACATCCTGGCCTGTACCAGGACCAGGAGAGTAACCTCTGCTGGGCACTGCTGAGGCACCTCAAATTGTGGGACCCTCACGACAATAAAGACCTTAAGTGGCTGGAGCATATCCATAAAAGAGAATGGAGCTGGGAAAGGCTCTGGAGCACAAGTCTGGTGAGGAGCAGCTGAGGGAGCTGGAGGGGCTCAGCCTGGAGAAAAGGAGGCTAAGGAGGGACCTTCTGGCTCTCCACAATTCCCTGATGGGAGGCTGCAGCCAGGGGGGGTCTGGGCTCTGCTGTCAGGGAGCAGGGAATAGGACAAGAGGAAACAGCCTCAATTTGTGCCAGGAGAGGGCATAGTGGACATCAGAAGGAATTTCTTCACAGGAAGGGTTGTTGAACATTGGAATGTGCTGCCCGGGGCAGTGGTGGAGTCACCATTCCTGGAGGTGTTCACAAAATGACTGAATGTGGCACTTAATGCTCTGGTCTAGGTGACAAGCAATCAAACGTTGAACTCCATGATCTCAGAGGGCTTTTCCAACCTCAATGATTCTTGGATTCTGTATCAAAAATAATTTTTACAGTTACATCTACCAATTACCCACAGTCTTAGCAGCTGAACAAAGGTAGCAGCTCAATTATACTGCTTCTGATCTTAACCCTTGATCTGGAACCTAAAGTAACCTTTGCTTTTAAACCAAAGAACAGTTATAAATTGCAAGATCTTGATCCCACCCTACCTGAACACAATTCAAATGTCAGTGAATTATTACAATCCCTCCTCTGCCTAGCCCTGTGACAGCAGCATGTCATTACAGGAGAGCTACACCGAGTATAAAATGAGGTACCTCTTGGTGCCAAGATCTACTCCAGTTTAAGATTTAATTTCACAAAAGTAGAGATTTTGGCTGCTCTGTCAGAAAATGTGGTTTGTGTGCATTTCAGATCTTAAGATGCAGAACACAGTTTTAGGTCTTTTGGGAAGGAGAAAAAAGTTCCTCTTTTAGTCTGGGAATAGTTTATATACACAGTACTAGCCTCAGATGGACTGTCTTTGCTAGCCAATTTCAAGATTTTAATTCTTAGTATGATTGTGGATTTAATAAATGCCTTTAGCTTGAGGAGTAACTAGAATTCCAGCAGACAGGACAACTCCTTGTCCAAAGTACAGGTTAGATCTTACAAAGCTTATTTATTTACAATTTAGTGTCCAGCAGACTACAGATCCAACTAGCCTCTGTGCTCTCCACTTATTTCAGGAGACTTAAACCCACAATTAAAGCAAACACTGTATAGGTAAATTCTGTATTTCAAACATTCATAACGGTCTAGAAACCATGAGGTAGTTTAAGTATTTAAAGCGGGGAGACAAAGAAGATGGAAATCCACAAAAAAGCAGTTTGGGAAGGGGTCTCTGTTAAAGTGGACTCCTCTCACAAATGATTTTTTACTTTACCTATTCTTTTCAGCTATTTTTAAACTGCATTTAGTCTTTCTTGCATTCCAACTACACTAAGTATACCAGGAAAGAGACTGAAAGGAAGTAAAAAGCTGTTTATACAGCTGGAGTCTCTTACAGCCCAGATTCATTCAATTTATCACATTGTTTGGTCACTTAACACATGCCTATAAGCATAGGAGGGAATAATCAAATAAATACATTCAGATTTTTTTAAAGGAAAATAGCCAGTTATAAGAATCAAATTACTTCTCATTCCTGCAATGGATTTTAAGAACTATTGCAGAAAGAAATTCTAGAGAAAATCCATTTTAAGATTAAAAGTCTTGGTAATTCACTAAAGAAACTTCATCAAAATAAATCCAACACTGATTAATCTTATACTGTCCTCTTATTTTCAGCTTAGTAGCCAGTCTGTGAAAACCCTACTGTTGAATAAATTAACCAGAGGCATCACTGGTGGTACTTACAAGGTAGAAATCGGCACAAGTACCTTTTCTGCCAGCATCACACAAAATAACGACTCTACATACACAAAGTGGATTTACAATCTCAATTTCAAGAACTTCGAAATGCTGGGAACCTTCCAAGCATTACATAAACTTTCAAATGGCAGTGACACCAGGTTAATAAAATTTGAACTAATACAAAGTCAGATAACTAAGTCATTGATAGGACTTACCAAAAATAACTTTGAAGTTAAAAGGTTAAAAGTCAAAATAACCTTGAAGCAACAAAGTCTGTCAGCTGATGCCAACAAGAAGACAGGGCTTTGCACTTGCTCCCTCCAACCAAATATGTGGGAGACTACAAAGCTATTTTCTTTCTGTGTAGCCTCCAGAGCACTGCTGGCCTCCCTGTACTACCACATACTCAGTTCTAAAGCAGTGAGACATGCAGGTCCCCCACACCAAGTAAGAAAATCAGATTTCCCCTGTAAATCCTAGCAAAGGAAAACAACATGCTAAACTCAGCAAACCAAGATGAGCTGCTCCAACAGAGTACACAGAAATTTCATGTATACTGTATAGTAACTTTAGTTTATACTTTATTGTCATTTTAGTTTACATCAGTATTACGCCAGTTTATACTTTTTTTTCCCTTGTAGTCAGGTATTTATTCCTTTGGGAAGGTGTTGCTTTATTCTGTCAAACTGTGAAAAACCAACCCTTTGTCTCCTACAAAATCTAAATCTACCTTTCCCTCTCTCCCCTCCAGCAGACCAGAAGTTGGTGAACTCCTCTAAAACAGCTAAATCAAGAGCCCCGGTCTGCAAGTTTAAAAACCCTCACTAATTGCCTTCTTCTCTTCTGGCAGACTGGAAGAATTGTAATTAGTTTTTCTGTTTTTTTTTTTTTTTTTTTTTTTTTTTTTTTTTTTTTTTTTTTTTTTTTTTTTTTTTTTTTTTTTTTTTTTTTGGGTTTTTTTTATCCCCTACATTCTGAAACACTACAATTTGAATACCCTTTCCTCATTAAGCCTTTCAGTCAACCTATGGAAGGCTTATTCATTACTTCAAGATGCCCTCTACATAGTTTGTTCTTAATCCTGCCTGAAAGTTAAACACTGAACTTTTACCAGTTTTCAGACTGTTCTAATACAGTAGATAATTGCTACATTACACATAAGAGACTAGCAGAAAGCATGTGTAGAGGTTTGGAACTGCCGGCTCTAAAACAAGACCAGAGGTCCTGGGGTACTCCTGCAGTGGGATCAATAGGACTCATGGCTCATTAAACAGCTCACTCACATACAAAACAGCAAGCTGTGTTATGCAGCCATGTTCCTGACCTGAAAGCTCCAAGATACTCTGCAGTGGCCCCGATGAGAGTAGAGGAACACAAGTATTACATTTCCAAGACGGTTAAATTTACCAGTCAGCTCTCTGCAGTAGGTATGAAACTGCTCATACACAGGACAAATGGAGTGTATGTTAATACAATGCATCTATAGCACACAATAGCAGAATGATACAACTCTGTCCTGTTTTGCTTTTAGAAGCTCTTAGATGAGTAGTACCAGGTTTTATTTTGAAAAAGGAAAACTTGCTTAAAAATACAAAGTGTCATTGTTAAAAGTTTAATAAAATAAAACTAGGCAATTAATTCAACTCAGCAAACTAGCTGCTTGCTCTATCACTGTGGTAATTTACAGGATCACTAGAAACACATTTCACTAGACAATTAAAGCTTTCACTTAAGATCTTCTTAGCGTAATTTACTTCTAACTGTAATACCCCTGTACTATGAAGTTCTCAAAATGCAAACACTTGTTTATAATTTTCTAGGCAAGATTTTACACATTAGGAAGACATTTTTTCCCCACTTCCACAGCTAGTAGTGGTTGCTGCAGGGATTTTGAATTAGGCTCAGATTTTAATTAGAGCAACTTCTACGTACCAAGAACTGCAAAAGGATTTGCATTCTCACTAAACAAAGTTTTGTTCAGGGAATGAACAAAATAAGCTGTGTCTTTAGACCAGGTACTTTTGCCCTTGATGACACAGGCCATGAGTCGATATAGTAAACACCTCAGAGACCATGCTGCAAACCCGCTAAAAGAAGTTCCTGCGGTGCTGCCAGTCTCTGGTACAGAGCTGTGAGGGGCTCCATTCTGCTCTCAGGCACCACAAACACACCCCGACACGGCAACAGGGAAGAAGCTGTAAGGCCACCTTTGCTCGCTATTAACTAACACGTTGCAATGGTCTGCCCGGAAACCCAATTTATGTGTTAAACGTAGTTTCAAAATTACTATGTAAACTGACACTTCTCAGAGACTACACCAAAGACAGAGCATCCTCAAAAGTCTTCTTCTAAAAGCATGTCACAGCTTGGACCGATTGAAATACAGGAAAACTTACAGCGCTCTTAAGACAATTTCGAAACCCTTCCACCTTCCCGTACAGCCTCGCAGATGGATTAATCACTGCACTCACGCCCTGCAGTATTCAGGGCAACGGCCCTCCTCCAAACAAAGCAATATACTTCAACTTCGCAGGGCGAAAACAATCTGCTTCTGCAGGCGTTTGTGCACAGAAAGTAGGTGGGGCCCCTCGCTCCCCGAGAGCCGAAACACGGCGGGACCAGGTGCTCCCCAGCGCCGGGCCCTTCTCCCCGCCCAGGAGCTCTGGGGTCAGGCTGGGCGCGGCAATCGTGGGTGCCCCCCGGCCTGGGGCTCTCCTCCTGCGCCTCAAGCATGGCCCCAGCCCAAGGCACCACCGACGGCAGCGCAGTGCGGCCACTCCCCGCCCAGCACCCGGGGCGCGGGACAAGCCAACTGAGGGACGGCGAAGGCACCAGCCGTGCGCTGGCTTCTGTCCGGCGGGACGGGAGGTATGGGGCTCCGTTTCCGCCCGCAGCGAAGAGGCCCTTCGGGGGGCCCAATGTCCTCCGCCAGAACCTACATCCCGACCCGCCCTCCTCTTCCCCTCACGGCCCTCAGCTGGAGCCCGCACCTCCCGCGCCCAAACGAAGCCGCGCAAAGGACTCCGCGCCGCCGCACGACTCTTCCCCTCGCCCCGCCAAGCGTCGCCCGCCGCCCCACCTGGAGCTAGGCTTGGCCGCCTCGGCCTCAGCGCCCTGGAACATGGTGGCACTCAGCAGCTCCGCTCCACAGCCCCGCTCCAACCGCGCCGCGGGGAGAGCCGGCCGCCCCGCCTTGCTCGGCCATTGGCCGATTTGGCTGCCCATCGTGACGGGCAGCCTATCAACGCAGTTCATTCGCTCGAGATCCCGCCTGTTCGGCCAGCCTCGCAGAGGGAGGGAAGCTTAAAACGACCCGCGTCGGCGCTCATGCTGGATGCTCCCATTGGTTGCACTGCCCGTCCGTCAGAGGAAACTGCACAGCCATTGGCTAGGGGAAAGGCGGGGCGAGCAGCGGGTGGGCATTTAAAGCGACGGGGTGGGGCTGGTATATGGGGCTGTAGTAGTGTGGTTCGAGCCTGGGCCTTACAGGCGAGACCTTATGTGAGGACTTCACCTCGAGATGGTGATGCAACGTAGAAAACAGAAGGAAGATCATCGTATGGAATAACTTCAGGGAGGACTTCGTAACCTGCTGCCCTCCACAGCGTTTCCGAGTTCGAGGATACCCGAGCAGCAAGGCCCGAGCCCGCCCGCACCCGGCAGCCCCTCAGGCGCGGTGGGAGCGTTGCAGCGCGGGAGATTTGAAGCGGCTCCAGGGAGCGCGAGCGAGCAGGACATGGAGCGGGAAAGGGCGCTGCAGCGCACGCAGTTTGCTCGGTTTTCTGGTCATTACAGTTGCTGAGAGAACTCAAATATATGGTGCCCACTCAGAAGGGAGTCCCTTAAACTCACCAAAAAAGATGCAGTGTCTCAGAGTGAAGTCCCCAAAAAACCGTGCAAAACATGCAAAAACTCCATGTGGCCACCCAGGCTTCTGGCTGTAGCTAATGCCTGAGCCTGTCAGTGGATTGCATCAGTGATGGGCAGCTGCATCAGGTAAGACCAGGTGGATAAACTATCCAGCCTGGTAGCAGAGCTACAAGACAAACTAGAAAGGCTGAGAAGTATTAGAAAATCAGAGAGGGACATAGGCTGGTGGGACTATGCTCTGGCCTCCCTAAGACAGTAGCATCCAACAGAAAGGAAATGCTCTATCCATCCTCCAGCAAAGAGCAGGTACCATTTGTGAAGTGAGAAGCAAGTGGAGGGCAATCCATACTTAGGGAAGCAAGAAAAATTCTTCTTTGCCCACCTTGCTTTTCTCTCACAGTACTCTCATAGTCAAACTCAAGAAAAGTGGGTTGGATGAGTGGACAGTGGGAACTGCTTGAGTGGCAGATCCCAGAGGCCTATGATCAGTGGTACAGAGTAAAGCTGGAGACCTGTCACTAGTGGTTGTCCCCTAGGGTTCTCTGTTGGGCTCAGTGTTGTATAACTTCTTCATCACTGATTGGATGAAAGAGCAGCTGTGTCCTCAGCAAGTTCACTGTTGATACAAAGGAGTGGCTGATACTTCAGAGGGTTGTGCAGCCCTTCAGAGGGACCTCAACAGCTTGGGGAGATGGGTAAGAGAAGAACCTTCTGAAATTTAACAAGGACAAATGCAGGTCGTGCACCTGTGGAGGAACAGCCCTGGTCACCAGTACAGGCTGGGAGCTGACCCGCTGGTCAGCAGTGCTGCAGAGTAGGACCTGGGTGTCCTGGTGCACAGCTATCTGTCCCTGACCAGCTGTATGCCTTGGGGCCAAGAAGGGCAATGTTGTCCAGGCCTTAGAAAGAGTATTACCAGCAGGTCAAGGGAGATGATCCTGCTCCTCAACTCAGCCCTGGTGAAGCCAAATTTGTAGCATTGCTTACACATCTGAGCCCCACAGTACAAGACAGACATGGAGCTCCTGGAGCAGTTCTATCAGAGAGTTGGTCAATGGTCTGGAGAATCCTTCTTAAGAGGAAAAGCTGAGGGAGCTGGACCTGTTGAATCTTGAGAACAGATGGCTGAGAGGGGACCTCATTAATGTGTATGAATATCTAAGATGAATATCAAGAGGATGGACCAGGCTCTTCTCTCTGGTGTCAGCTAGCAAAACAAGTGCAAAGGCAGCAACTGGAACTTCCACGCAAACATGGCAAAGAGTTTCTTCACTGTACAGCGACTGAACACTGCAGAGGATGTGGAGTCTACTTCATTGGAGATATTCCAGAACCATCTGGACACAGCTCTATACCATGTGCTCTGGGATGACCCTGCGTGAGGAGGGAAATGGGATCAGATGACCCACTCTGGTCCCTTCCAACATGGTAAATTCTGTGATTGTTGTGTGTTGGGCCTCTATACCTCATCTGGCCTTGTCAGTATGCACAGGGGTTTGCCAGCACAGTGTTGAGCAGAGTCTGGCTGCTGTGATCCATTCTGCAGCCTGGCATGTGTCCATGTTTTGCTCACAGCTCTGTGGCTGAAGCATGGGTGGCTGCCACATGAAAGCCACCGGCTGCCTGGACAACCTGCATTGGGAGGAGATGGTATAGCTGCACCTGCAAAGCCAGCATTTGCATGGCCTAACCATTTTTCGTTGTCTATAACATTACAAGCTAACATTTTCAGCTGAAGGTTTTATTTCACAGCTGTACAGCTGTGATATGTCAAGAATTAAACTCAGAGGCATACATTTAGTAGCATACTGCTACTTTTGTTTGGAAGGACTGAAAAAACCAAATCAAAGCTAACAAAAGAGCATGAAAAATATGTACTATCACTGCAGTATCTTGTTTTGCTAATAATTTTTCAGACTCATTCCTTTTGTTTTCACAGTCTTAAATTTTGGTCATTAAGGGCAAAATTAACTAAATTTTGAAAGAAGATTCAGTAGCAGCTTTATTAGAGGGTGGAAAAGATTTAGAGGTCTTTTATGCTGACAAAGGCTCAGAGCCAGTACACGGGAGAAGCTGCAGAGAAAGAGCTCAGACGGTCATAGCCCAATTTTCTCAGTAAACAGGCAGGAGAGGTAACTATGCACTTTTTGGATGGGAAGGAAGTATCAAAATACTAATAAAACTTATATTGAGCTTTTTAGAAAATTCTTAATTTCTGATTGATTATACACTTGCACTTTCTCAGTGCAACAATAAGCTGCCTTTTTGTATGTTGTAGAGATCAAGATTCTGAAAGTGTTACTGACCTAGATGACAGGAACTTCAGGCCTCGAGTCCAACTTGCCCAAAGCAGGGTGTGCTGTGTCAGCCCACCTTTCTATGGGCTTTAGTTAGTTTTATCTTGGAAAGCTCTGAAGATAGACTATGCAACCCTCTTAGGGCTTCCTGTTCTTCAGTCCTGGGGTGAAAAGGTGTTTCTGGTAGTGGCTGTATAAAACATGATGGCCTGAATACAACCTTCACAGCCTAGTTTCTGCCTATCTCAAACTGTGAATGCAAAAAAACAAAACAAAACAAACCCCCAAGATAAACACTACCATTTTTATTGTACCTTCTTGGTGGTGGTGGTGGTTGGGATTTTTTTGGTGTTTTTTGTGATTGTTATTCTCTCTTTCTCCCTCTTGTTACTGGTACCCATGGCCACCGACAGGCATGAGCAGACACTACTGGGAATGCCAGCTATAAAGCAAAAACAATCCTACCAACATTTTCTCTGATCATGCTGAGAATCATCAAAATTCTGGGATGGGAAATGCCAATGGGAGTTTGGTAACTGATTTCACTGCAATCAAATCACTCTGAAAGGCTTGGCCTTATGGAAGAATCTTAACTCCCACAACGCCATGACCATGTAAATAAAGCTTAAATGAAAAAAAAATCTGTGAGGACATGAACAGCAAAGAACACACTGGACACAAGTTAGACCAAGTATTAGTATGTATTTATGCACAAGAATAAAAACAGCTTTACAAGTTGAATTGGAAATTTAAACAGAAGAAGTTTAACAGCTTTTGTATATTATATTAAATAACCAAAACATTTTTTTTCCAAAATTGGTAAAGAATAAATAACATAATTTACAGTATGGTACAAAAAATAATCAATAAGGACAGGCATTTTGCTTTATACATACACTATATAGGTATATTTATAATCTATAAAACAAATTCACATCTCAAACAAGCCAGAAACCTTAGATGATATGGCTTAACTATCATTAAAAGAAACAGCATTACATTTTGCTGCCAGAACCATAAGCTCTAAAGCAGTTATCATGTTTCAATAATTAATGATAACTTATTGCCGTAGTGCTTGCCAAGGTTTCACTTAGGTAACATTTACAACTTGTGAAATTAACAGATTGAAAAATTTGAAAAAGTTAAAAAAAAGTGCAGTACTTTCCTTATAAATGCATCTGAAGTCTAAGTGTAGAAAACAAAATGCAACTGAATTTCTCCTCTGGGATCTACTGTCAGTAAATGAGATGTCTTTATAGGTTAGATTTTAATCAAGCCATTTAATTCAATTTAGAAATATAGAGGGTGTCAAAAAAAGGCTTAACACTGCTGTATGAAAAACCATTACTATTCCTATGCTTAGTAGATTTAGGGATGCAGGATAAAATGATTGTGTGAGTGATCAGGATGCAGCACCCAGTACGGATCTCTGTCACACACACCTGGGTGGATCCAGCCTCGGGCTATGGTACTGCTCTCCACCCAGCCCGTGGTGATGAGACACTGAATCTTCTGCCATTTACCTTGTCAGCTACTCAGAGCTGCCTTACGGTCACTGAGAGGGAAAAACCTAGAGCAGTTAATCCTAGACCTGGAGACTGTTAGCGTCCCTTAGTCCTCTCCAACACCTCATAGGTACCAGGAAAGTACTAACCTAATGAAATCACTTCTACCTCAGAAATGATACTGTGTGCATTTCAGTGTCGCTCGCTTTGATGTCTGCTTGGCCTGACACTGTCCCTCATATAGATTTTGTTACTGTTGTTGGGAAAGCTGAAATAATTAAAATTGAAGAAGTTTTGAGTATTACCACCCCCCCACCATCTGCGCACGCACATGCACATGTGTGTCTGTGTGTGTGTGTGCATGTGTGTATACACCACCTCCTTAGCAGTCTCAGGCACAAACTGATGATGACTACTATTGTAAAGCACATTCACCTAAAATCTAGAGCTGGTCCAATCAGGGATGTGTTTAAATGGCCATTCACATAGTAAGGGTAACAAATACTGAATCAATTCAGAATTACCATAATGAT